ACTTGTGTTTTTATTTTGATGTTTTTTCCTTTGCACTAACCCCAAACTTCCCCCCAGGATTCAGTTTCTTCCCCAGAGTCCTTCCTGCAGGACTTCACTGTAGCCATGGTGTTAATAAGCCTTGATTTCCATCGCATGCATGGATCTGCATGCTAGCTGCTACACTCGCCACCTTTCTGTGTGACTACAAACCCACTTTGAGCGTTTTATCGCCACCTAAAGGTCTGGAGGGGAAAATTTAATGTCTTAATCTTATTAAATATCGTGGGACTAATAATCAGTCCCTCTGCGATTTGAAAATTGTGTTTTATTGAACTGAAATTATATTGCAAATGCAATTAATAAAAGATGAAAGTCAGAAATAAAATAATTTCTAGACGTTTTTAAAGTTATTTTAATGAATCCAGGGTCAGATTTATTGTAGAAATAATTCAATTTCAATTCAATTCAATTCAGTTTATTTATATAGCGCCAAATTCACAACACATGTCATCTCAAGGCGCTTTACGGCATAAGGCATAAATAGAAAGTAATGAAACAGAGCGATTGTAATAAATGAATAAAGCATTTTAATTCAGCTTCATGATCATGTGAACAGATTGGTTGCATAATTGTTTATAAAAGGAACCTTTTCCTAATCCTGCAGACTGACCCATCTGTCTGCTCCTAGTTCAACCTTAACTGCTCTTCATAAGATAAACATTTTAGATCTCTGCAGCAATGAGAATAATTCCCTCTCATTATTAGGATTATAAACTCGCCCTTATGAGCTCCTGACCCCACTGTAGAACAAGTAGAGTGAGATCAGGGCTTTTCCCTGAGATCACATTGCAGCCATTAAAAGACGATGAAAGCGTATTTGTAATCACCTGTTGCAGGCCAAAGATATCGTGTTTAGTCCGGTTTTTATGCGAAAAAGGCTCTTTGTGCGGGAGAAAGGTGAAGAGATTGGTCCTTCCTCTGACACCACAGGTAATGCATGGAGGCTTTGTTTCTGTAAACCATCTGGACATCTCAGCTTTCTCACCACATCGAGAAAAAAACCAAACTACTAAAATAAAGGTGCAGCTAGTGGATGACCTGCTGCTGCCAGACAGCAGAGGAGTATAGAACTTCCACACATAGGTGATACTGAAGTATCCTCCTCCTCATACTGGGTGGGATCTTTGCACATTTCTGTCTCATACCTCTGCTCTGCCGTGAGGACGCATGTCAATAAAACAAGGTTTTCCTTTTATGCTGTTTTCTAAGCTCTGGTTTTAAAAAGCAAACCAGTCCAAGCAGAAAGCTGAGCGTCACCTTCCACCTGACAATGAAACGCAGCATCAATTATTTCTAAGCAGCAGGAATGCTCTACAACGCCCTGATGTCTCCATCAGGCTCATCTACGGCGCTGACTGGAGGAGAGAACCACCTGGAACGGACGCTGGAGCGACACGGGCGATGGAGAGAAAAGAACAAGCATAGATACTGTTAAAGATCGGCTCTCTGTGTCTACACCTTCAAGGTCTATCTCTCCGGTTATTTTTCCTGAAAACAGATCATTCTGGACAAACTCTTTATATAACAATTCATAAACAGGAGACATTAAAATAGATTTTGATAGAAACTGTAATCTTACTCAGATCAGAGAAGTTGCTTAAAGTTACAGAAGTCTCAGGAAGTGGCCCCGGATAAAGTCTTTGGGAAGCGGCTGTTCCAACCGTTGCATTTCCGAATTCTCCCGAGTGGTGCCCGACTTTACACGAGTGAATAAAGGGAATGCGATTGGTTGATTATCAAGGGGGTGGGATTGTTGTTCACGAGCAGGTTTGATTGTGGCCGGTTTGTCGGAAGCATCTTGCTAACCAGTTAGCATCTTAGTGCTAGCAGGTTCCCAATGGGAAATTCCATTGG